ATTGACCCATGTGACTTTAGTTTTGTGTATTTCACTGTACATAAATTATGTTTTGATAAAATTGTATTAAAAAAAAAAAAACTTGGCAGCTTTGGGAACCCTATGGGGCAGTGCTAGTATGTCCTGTAGAGTCACTGTGAGTTGAAATCAACATGATGGCAGTGGGTTTTTAGTGTAACAGTCATGTCATTTTCTCTTAGAAGTAAGCTTTTAAAATATGATTTATCATTACAAATGAAGAAAATGAGATTCCTAGCAAATGTGTCACTTGTTTCCTGTCACAGAGCTTCTCAGATTAAATGTCACAGAGTGTCTCACCTCTGTGACATTGATTCAGAGCAATGAGTTAAATTTCTACAGTTAATTGAAAGTAGTGTATCCAGTGAAAGGGATTTCGGGTCTCAGGCTGTGAGAAGCATGGGAAGAGAATTAGAAGCTAGAGTTGTTTCCATTGTCTCTCAGTGACACGACAGAGGAAGACATTTTGTGTGAAATCATCACTTCAGCTTGGTTTCTGGACAGGACCACAAACTGTTCTAACTGCTTCTTTCAACATCATCTGAGTTTTTGCAGTCAGGAAGCATGCACACAATGACTTTATATTTGTGGTTAAAAACCAAGAGATGGAAAGAGCACTGAACTACAGGTTGGGAGAGGTGCATTCAAGAGAAACTCTACCCCAAGTATCTAAGTAATCTTGAGAAAGTACACAACCTTAAAGCAACATTGTAGTGGTAAAGTATGTGGGAAGAAAACTGAAGTTCAACACCTTACTGTTGTTGCTGCTGTTAGGTATCATCGATTAGGTTCTGACTCATAGCCCCTCCCTCCCCCAATAAAAGTTATAGTTTACTGGCTTTTTAAAAAACAAGGGAAAACTCATCTAAAAACACCAGAACATAAAAGAAGCAATTAACACTTTTTATATGTAAAGTATTTATGTATATTTAACAGATAGCTATATCTGAGGAGAGATTAAAGAATATATTAGGTTGCTGATTTTAAAAAAAACAAGGCATATAGACTCAGAAATTATCATGGCATTAAAAAGTGCCAACATGTGAGTGCTACACTATATGCCAAGCATTGCTTCTAACGTGCTATATGGATTCTTACTAATTTAACAGTACCTTTTAGTCCTTGTTTTGCAAATGAAGAAATTGGCATTTAGAGAGAATAAGTAATTTTCACAAGATTACACAAATAGTAAATGGTGTTTGAACCTTGATATGTCTGATTTGAAGGCTGGAAGGATCATAGAACTTACCTGATTGAGCCCCTCTGAAACTCAGAGAGGTGAAGTGATTTGCTTACACCCATAACTAATAAATTGCAGTGTTAATGCTAGAGACATTAAAAATCTCTATTGTCTTGTAGTATTTCTTTTTTAGTGAAGTTTTAGGGCTTTGTTACATTAAGAAATACAATTTTAGTGAATTCCATTTTATGACCCTTCAGAAATACATTTTTTGTACTTTGTGCAGTTTTACTACTCAAATGATTGATATAGTCCTATTAAAGTACATGTAATGAGTGAAATGAAGATTATTTAAGTTAGATCATATTCAGTGATCATTATATTAAACACTTAACTGAAACATTTACACTTGTCTTGATTTTGGTATGCCTTTGGTTGGGGGTGTGTGTGTGTGTGTGTGTGTATTAATTTAGACATGGACATGAGATCTCAAATACATACTGCAATATTTTTAAAAAACTTCTAAATTATTATATCAGTTATCTCATTCAATATAAAATAGGAATCAGTTTCATATTCATAAATCTGATCTTAATTTTTCAAAATAGAGTGTTTTTATTTCTCTGGTATTTGTATGATATAAATTTTATTTTTTAAAATGAGCTTTCATATTTTGCTGAAGAAATTTGTTTTTAGAGAGAAAAAAATCTAAACTATTGCTTCTCTCTTCCCTTCCAGGTTTCACCTTGCTTAAATGTCCTGTCACGACTGTTGTTTAGCAGTGATCCAGATGTGTTAGCAGATGTTTGTTGGGCCCTTTCTTATCTCTCTGATGGACCCAATGATAAAATTCAAGTAGTCATTGACTCTGGAGTCTGTCGAAGACTGGTGGAACTTTTGATGTAAGTATAACTTATTAATAATTGTATGATTGTATATTAAGTCTAGCAGATTAGCAGCCTCATACACATTTCAAAAGTCAATGTCTTCAGGAAGAGTTGAAAAGAAGCTGGCTTCACACTTTGCAGAAATGACTTAAACTTGTATTTTGCATCTGATGAGGATGGGCAGGTAGGTCCAATTGGGAGATGAGGCCACAAAGTGAGGGTGGCCCCTGCCAGAGCAGCAGACAAACAAATGGAGTTGGGAGTTGGAGCCAGCATGTGCTAGGAGAGCAGTCTAGCTATGCCAGGAGATGTAGAGAGATTATGATAATGGCAGCCAAGTTTCTTATTCTCAAAGAATGGAGATAAAATATGGAAGAGGGGAAAGCCAGAATAATCCTGTGGTGGTAGATTAGAATTAGAGCTATCAATGTGAACTCACGGTTTTTAACATAAAGAGATAAATGTGGAAATATATGTGTAAATGTTTGTGTGTATGTGTATGTGTACCCTGTGAAAGAGCCTGGGAGCAGTGACATCCCTATAGTAACATGCTAAGTTCACTGACTGCCCGTATCTTTGTTTCTAAACACAACTTTCCACTAAAAGGAACCAAGACTTTTGGAGAAATGGTCACTTCCAGGGCTGCAATTGAGATAAAATAGTATGAACCCAGAAAGGAAGGTGTGACCAGAGAATGGAGAAATGTCAAAAGGACACAGAAGCCCACTTGAAGGGGCTTCCACTGTCCAAATCTGGAACAATTTGAGCATCAAAATATAGTAATGTGTTACAACTTACTGAATAAAATAGGGACCCATGAGACCACAGTAAAATGGGTAGGTAGGTAAGTAGATGGATGGGTGGGTGGGTCGGTAGATAGATAGATAGATAGTTAGATAGATGGAATAATGTTATTAGAAAATCGGTATTGGCTCCCATACTAATCCTAAACCAAACCTGTTGCCATAAAGTTTGTTCTGACTCCTAGTGACTCTGTAGGACAGAACAGAACTGCTCTATAGGGTTTCCAAGGCTGTAATCTTTACAGGAGTATACTGACTGCCACTTCTTTTCCCTGTGGAGCAATTGGTGGGTTTGAACCACCAACCTTGTCATTAGCTCCCAAGTGCTTACTAATAATTTAAATGATAAACAACAAGAGATGATAAAACTAGTGCTAAAAGTGGTTAAGGAATGGGATTTTACATAGTCTTAAAGTATTCCCTCATGAAATACTGATCTCAAAGGGAGAAGAAATAATGTTATATTATAAAAATCTGGCAGATAACCATTTTATTAAGTGGTCAGAGTCAGCACTACTTTAATATGATAAAATAGATATATGCTACCCAATAAGAAGGAGCTCTGGTAGCATAGTGCCTAAGGCACTTGACTGCTAACCAGGAGGCTGGCGGTTCAAATCCACCAGCCACTCCTCGGAAGGAAGGTTGGGCAATCCTACTTCCGTAGTGATAATTGCCTCGGAAACCCAAGGAGGGGTTGCTAGGAGTCGGGGCCGACTCGATGGCAAATAACAACAACAACAACCCAATAAGAAATAAGGAAAAGAATATAGCATTTGCCATATTCCAGATAAAGTTACAGAACCTGGGCTGTTATCATGAGGAAATAATAGGATAAACCCAAGTAATTGTCTGGTGTTCTTCAAAATGTCAAGGTCATGAAATCAAAGGAAAACTGAGGAACTTTTTTTGATTAAGAGACATGACAACTAGGTACAACCCCATGATCTTGGATTAGATTTTTTGTGTTGTAAAGATATTACTTGGACAGTTGGTAAAACTTGAATGGGATCTCTGGGTGAAGAGCATATAGGAATTTTTTTGTACTATTTTTGTTACTTACCTACAACTGTAAAATTCTTATATAGTATATAAGTTTACATTTTCATTATTTTTAGGCACAGTGATTACAAAGTGGTGTCACCTGCATTAAGAGCAGTTGGTAATATTGTGACTGGTGATGATATTCAAACACAGGTGAGTTAGGCTTTAATATGATAAATTATTCACATAATAAGCTTTAAGAAGTTTATCATTTATTATACCATTTGACTACATATTAATTAAGGCTTTAGTATACATAATTATATAAGAAACTATAATGTGAGAATTAGCATATTCTTGAATTCCTTATCAGAGAGTTCCAATGCTGCTTCTTCCTCAGGGATGTGTTCTGGGTCTGTATCCTGCTTCCTTGTTTCT